TTACTGAGGCTTTGTTTGCTGTCGTGTGTGCTTGCTGTTGCTTCACTCTCAAAGTCCACTTCCAGCAGCAGCAGAAACTGCGGCGGTTCGGGCTGCGTTCATGAGCCCAGCGTGCCTGGTGCGCTTCAGACAGGCACTGCCAGCAGGGATAGGCATGGCCTCTGCGTGCTTATGGAAAAGTTTCCTTTCATCTTTGTAAAATCACTGTTAAGACATCAGTTCCAGTGGTTTTCAGTCTTGACATAGAACTTGATGAGCTCTCCCAGAGCATCAGCAGACTTGCAGAGTATGAAGCTGCTGTGGTATGAACTCCAGAGTTAGGAAACGTGTCTGGTTTCATCCCTAATGCTGCAGGGGTGGGCAGCTGAAGTGTCACCATATTGACTTGTCTTTGCTTTATTCTCCTTTTGACCACCAAATCTTTGAGTGCTTTACATCAGAAAGCTCTGCGCAGGGTTGAGAAATGCAGCCAGCATGGCATGGGGTATCATCTTAGAGCGAGAGAGCAGCTAGAGGAATGGGAAGAACAAAGACTTATTCTCCATCCCAGGTGGTCAAGAGCTGGAGACCGTTCCGCAGCCCATGGGGTCACTCTGCACTGGCTCTATGATCGTCTGCTGGTTTCTCAAGGGACATGTAAACACCATCTGAAGGGAATCGAAGCTGAGCCTCAAAGCTTCTGTTAGGCTTCTAGATTTTGCTCAGACTTTCTCCTACCTCTGTCAGCTGAGGCCACTACAACCGTTAGTCTTCTGCATGTGTGAGGAAGAAGTTATCCATGGAGAAGAACCTCTAGGGAGCCTTTAGGTTTTCCTGTGCAAGAGCTAGGGAAAAAAAGAGTGTGTTTTGCATTTAGTCAAGTTTTCTTTTATCTGAAGGGACATCATTAACTGTCATCTGTTGTCTGGATGTCTAGGAAACAAGGGATCAGGAATAGCTGTTCAGTGCCTGGGATGCTGTTTAGGCTGTTTTCAGAGCACAAACATGTGATGAAGCTGGATGATTTACATTTTAAATTAAAACACATCTTGTAATTATCAAAATTTCACTCACAAAGAGAAATTATTGTTCCCCCAGTTGTCTGGGAACAGAGCTGACTTGATTGCTGGGAGTGAAAGCGGTCTGAAAATAGTGATCTAACAGAAGCTCTTTGATTTCCTCTTTTCTTACATAGCGCATATGTGTTTGCTGCGTAGATTGAATTGGATGCAAGCCCCTCCCTCCGCCCCAAGGTGCTTAGCATCTGGAACTTGCTGGTAGTAGAGTCAAAGTTTAGTCCTTAAATTGGGAGAGTCTTTCTCTATCTCATCCCCTCTCAAGTTTTAAGAGGTTTTGTATTCTTGGGGGTTTAACTAAACATTTGTCCTTTCTAAAAAGATGTGTCTGTATGAGCCCATGTGCTTTTTCTGTCTGCTCTACAAGCTCTTGCTAAAAGTCTTCTCAGACTTCTTCAGCCTGGTTAGTTGGGGGAAAAAAATGTTAACCTGGTCAAAGACATAGTGAGCTCTGTTGCTGCGACTCCAATGGGAAGCCTGCATGAAGCTGCAGCCTAAATCTGCAGGTCTTCATCGGCACGTGCTGGGAGCTGGGGAAGGGATGCTTTGCTCTTTCGAGAGCATGTCCCCCTCGGTCTGCATGGCCATGCCTGTTGTTTCCTTAGCACAGGTGAAACAACAGCTTTCTGTTCTGAATGTGCCAATAACTGCAGTCTCTTGAGTTTGGGAATTTGACCTTGGAGGTCTTCTGCAAAGTGTAGAATTTCAGGTTGAATTCCAGTTGCTCTGCACAAATTTAGTGGTGTTTCCCAACCTGATGCTTCAGTTAGTCTCCAGTCCAAAGAATATGATGAAAACATCAGAACTCCTCAGAAACCCAGAATTTCGGGCACTTTGAGTCTGAAAATGTAGGATTAGTTCCACTGCTTAAATCTACTGAAAGCAAAGGTTTCCCAAGAGTGCTTTTTTCAGCCCCTGCCCCAAAGAGAAATGAACCCTCCTTCTCTTGGTGGTTGCACAAGGCAGGTGGTACCTGTGGAGATGCATTCCTGTGAGTGGGGATAACACTGAACCCTGCTCAGACTTACCTGTCCTCCCGCCAGCACATGCACCAGCCTGTTCTCTCCACAGGCTCTCCCTGTCCCCATCCTGCCCATCCCCAGTTTCAGCCTCTTCCCCAGCTCCTGTCTGTTTGTGTTGAGCATCCTTAACCCAAACGCGCCTCTGACACGGACAGTGGATAAAACCAATTCTGCTGTAACATGAATCTGCTGGAGTGTATAATATATCAGTGGAGAGGAGAAATACTTACCAAGTTCATCATAGACTTAATGAGCCAGGATTGGGAGAGATGGAATAGCAAACATCTCCGTTCTCTGGATGCCACAATGCAAAGCCAGAGCTCTGGAGAGGAACTTTCATTTCATTAAACAATTTTATTTTCAAGCCCCACTCAGCATTACTACAATCCTGCTGGCAGCATTTCCTAGTAGCTACTCTAAGAGGAAAATCATTAAGCTCAATAGTTAAAATTGTTACTGGCCTGACTGCAGTGCTGTGGCTTGGCAATTAGGAAGCGGTTTTACAGATTCAGGTTCTGGTGGAATATTAACCGGTCCCCAAAGGCAAGAGGCAGATGGTTCCTTTTCTAGGGATGAAGTTGGAAGCTAAATGTTACCCACACTACCACAGCCAGTTGGTGGCGAAGCGTGCTGGAAGGCAAGATGGACCTTGGTGCTCCCAGTGCGAAGTTCTTTCCGTTCCAGTGGTTTAAGCTGTCCTGTTTCTTGTGTTCCATTACTGCAGCAGCAGCACGCTTGATTGCAGAGAAACCACCACAGAAGCAGGTCAAGCAGTGTTTTGGAAGGTTTCCTCCTTGATTGCAGGCAAGCGTGGTCTTGGCTCTGGTTGCAGAAAAGTTGGGCGTAGCGCAACAAGCTCTGTTCTTGAGAATCTCCAGCTCAGTGTAAATCCTCTTCATGGTGGTGCTCTGGCATGGCTGTAGAAGAAGAATTCTTACTGGCCTCCCCATGGCACAGGAAGCAGCTAAGGAGAACTGGAAGCAGGCAGGGCAGTCCCTGCTAGAGACAAGAGGGTCTAAGAGCCGGGAGAGAGTGTCTTCGGCTGCAGTGAACAAGGAGAATGGATGTACGGAAGAGGCTCTGGCTTTTGACTGGGCAGAGTTTCAATCGGTGTTTTTGATCATGTTCCCAATGCTGAAATCCAAGTTGGCTGGTAAAAAACGCCCACCCCTTTTTGGAATACGCACTCACATCCACCTCTCTCGAAGCGGCGCTGGGGTGGGATGGCACACACGTGGTGTGGCACTAGCCAGTAACGTGCCCCTGGTGAGGTTCCCATTCAGAGCCGAGTCTGCTTGTCCCCACCGGCATGACGTGTCCCTAGCAGAGTCTCTGTGCTCACGTGCAGCTCTGCCAGCTGGCACACAAACTCCTTCCTGGCGTGTACCATGGCTCAACAGGTTCCTTTTCCAGGATCTCACAGCAACAAGGGGGAATGAATCCAGTGACCGCCAAGGCCCACATCTGGGCAGTTGTTTCTGTCGTGTCTGAGAAGCGCACTGACTCTGTGGGGCTTTGCCTTGAAGTCCTCGCAGTGTGTGGGATGCTTACCCAACTCCATCTGTCACCCACGGAGTCAGACCCCACAGCCGTCTGATCGCTCTCCATCCTACAACCTGACAATCAGAAGCAACTTTATCCTTTTCCCTGTTAAATCTGAGCCCTGGTGCTTTTCATGTCTTTCCTTGAGTGCTTGTTATTTGGGAAGTTCTTAAAACAACCCTGTGCCACATAATTTAAGTGGGACTGCGATTTGAAGGTTAACGGAGAAATTTCACACAAGGGATCTTCAAAATGAATGTGGTTAGATGCACCTCTGCCTTGTGAGCAGTCAGCGATGGGTGAACTTCTTTGCAGGCAGCAGTTTCCCTCCTAGCTCCCATGGACAGCCTTTAAGCAGTTAAAACTCATTTTGAACCTTCCTGGAAGTGTTTCGGTGGCTCTGCTGTGGGGTAGCTGTGGCAGAGCGGTACGATGCGTTGCCTGTATCTGCAAAGCAAGACTTGCAAGTGCTGAGTGCCGTGTGTTGGGGAGGGTGCAGCGAGCCCCTGGCCCCCTTGCAGTCTGGCACTAGTTAGCCAAGAGCTGCGGTGTCGTGTCCAGCTCATCCCTCTAATTCCTTATGTTGTTTTCAGTACAGAAAATTGGTATTGAAGTATGGTCAGGCCATAATGTTCCAAAAATCCCATAAATTTCTGTGCTGAAACTGAAGCCTGAGCATCAGGGGGACCTGACAGGGGAAACCCAATGTCCCCAGCCACTCGCGGGTTTGGTTAGCTGGGCTCAGGCTCGGCAAGAGCCAGAGCAACGTGGGAGCTCTTTGGCATGTGCTGAATAGCACAGGTCTTGGGAGCTTGCAAGGCAAACAGACCTGGGTGTCCTGAGGGTCTGTCATGTCCTTCATGTCTGGAAGGCTTCCTTTGGATGCTTTGGCATGTGGGATGATAGTGTCAGATAGGTCTGCATGGGTGGCAGCCCATTCGGAGCTGGGGAATCGTCCCCTCCTTGGGAAATGCCAGCTTGTACGTTCTTCTAGTTGTTGCCGAGACACAAAGGCGCTGGGTCCGGTGCTGAGGGAAGACTTGACTCATCACATGGAAAACTAATGGCTAAAAGTGAACAAAATAACTAGATTCTGCCTTTTGCTATGGAGATACCAGGAGTTCGACATTTAAGTTGCGGTCCCGTTGATAAGATACGGTAGCCCGTCTCTTATCAGAGAGCTACTGCTAAATGGAGAAAAGCTGACAGCAAATATTTACTTTTGGATCAATTCTGTTTAAAGGGCAGTGTTTGGAGCAGAGCTTGGACACAGGAAGGTCAGGTGTGGGATCAAGGCTACATTTATATAAAGACAGAGGAACATGCACTGGAAACCCTTGTGTAGAAAGGGAAGGGACCGGAGGATTTTGAAAACTGCACTATGAGGACCTTAATTTTTGTCCTCGCACTGAGCGTCTTCTCGTGCTCAGGTAAGTTGCTCAGAGTGGAGCCACATCATCTTTCTTATGGTGGTTTCGGGAGGAAAAGCCCAAGACCACACTGAGCTTCTAATGGAACTCTGCATCTGCCTTAGGGCTTCCAGTCTACGACTATGAGCTCCCTGTCACAGAAGATGCTCTCAACGCTTCCATTGCAAGGGTCAATGCCCGGTCCTGGGGGACAAACCTCTACGGTGTTGTCAGGAGCCATGTCACAAGAGTAAGTGTGCAGACAACAGAGATCCTTTACCTGAAATGTGCTTTGCTGTGGTGGAAAAACTCTTTCCACTCAACCCTGGAAGCCCAGATGTAGTTGGAGTTTTCTGGTGTTGCTTGGAAGAGGGTGGGTTGGGGCATTATCTGAAGCTATGGCTTTAGGAACCTGAATATTCTTTGTCTGTTGATTTGCAATTAAAAATACATTAGGCATTCATATTTTCCACTCCTAGAATAGAAATCTTTGAGGGATGTCTTGTAAGATTCTGTTCAGAACTTGATTCAGAAAAGAGCTGGTGTTTTCATATGCCTCTGGCTAATTGTTCTGCTCTGGGCATGAAGTAACCAGCTGAATGTCTGCGCTGCTAATTAAATGCCGTCACAAACACGTTCAGGATTCTCCCTCCAGTCTGTATTTACATCATTTGCCTCTACACACCAGCTCTGGTTTAAATCTACTAGTGTATAAGTGCAGGCAGGAAACCCTTACCTGTTCTAGTTTGTGTTGCTAAGAATTGTATTGGACACCCACTAAGAGCTAAGGAGTTAAAGCTTCCTAATGTCAAGTTAGCGTGTCCTTGTTCCTGAACATCCTCAGAACCATTCTCTTCCTTTAGATGGCGTGTATCAAGTGTTCTGCAAGAATGAATGACAGCATGACTTTTGGATTGATCCAGTTTGGAAAAAACAAAAACAAAACAAAAAAAGCTCGAAAGCAGTGGGGGTTTAGTTGTTTGTTGAGGTTTTTTGCCTGGGTTTTGGTTGGGTTTTTTTGTCTGCTGTATTGAGCTAAGACATTGATTAGACTGTGAGAAGGAGAAAAGAAAATCCTAACGTATCAACAAAAGCAACGGAACTCTCTAAAGCTTGCAGTGTTGCATGCCCACTGCCTGTTGAGGCATCTGAGCTGACAAGGAGCGGCTCTATCAACTGCATTAACTCAGCTGCTTGCTTTCCAAGTCCTGCATTTGCAATAGACTCCCCAGCAGTCTCGCTATCCACAGCAAAGCTGTTAGCACCCTGGTTCCCACAGAAGAGGGGGTGGCATGCAGGGGTGATGCTATGCTTATCCACCTTTGACAGCTCTCATCCCCCCAGCTGACTCTGAGCTGGAGGATCCTGCAGTGGCTGCGGGGTTTCAAGTGAACCCCCCATGGAAAGCTGTTCTACGGTGCTGGTACCAAATCTGCCTAAGAGGGGAACTCCAGAGCACACAGTGATCTGCCCTAAATCGGGCACTGACGCATAGTGCCCTTACGTCTCGCTTCTGCTCCACAAAGCAGCCAGTTTGCAATGTAGTGGGCACGGAAGACTGACAGGCGCTGACTGTGTTGTGTTGACCTTCCTTTTACCAGGTGGACATGTGGAACAGTGACACTTACAGACTAGAGCTGCAGTTCAGCATTCGGGAAACTGTGTGCACGAAAGCTTCGGGGAGAGACCCCTTCACGTGCGACTTCAAAATGGGGCCTTTCGTGGTGAGTGCCTCTGGTGTGAATGTGAACACCCCCCCTCTGTGCAGGATGTTCTCAGGGCGTGCTGAGGAATGAAGAGTGGCTGGCTTGGTGAAAACAAAAACACACCCTGAAGCATGGAGCAGTGTTAGGTGGGAAGGGTCAGTGCTGGGGAACTCTTCTGCCAGGTCAGCGGGGAATACAGGAGCTGCTGTGAGCTGAGAAGGAGATGAAGGTCTTTGAGCAGCATGTGGTGAAAGTGTCTGTGTGCTTTGGGACCAAATCCTGGAACAAAGGTGTGGAAAAACTGACATTTAACCAGCTTTTGTCTCTCATGCATCTAGGCGCTATCATAGAATCATTAAGGTTGGAAAAGGCCTCAAGGACCATCAAGTCCAACAGTCAACCCAACCCCACCCAGCCCACTAACCCATGTCCCCAAGCACCACATCTACACGTTTCTTGAACCCTTCCAGGGATGGTGACTCCACCACTGCCCTGGGCAGCCTGTTCCAATGCCTCATCACTCTTTCAGGGAAGAAATTTTTTCTAATATCCAGCCTAAACCTCCCCTGGTGCAACTTGAGGCCGTTTCCTCTTGTCCCATCACTTGTTACTTTAGAGAAGAGGCAGCACCCACCTCACTGCACCCTCCTTTCAGGCAGTTTCTCTTCCG